TTTTGGCTTACGCCGTTTAGCACAGATCTTGTTCACCGAAAACTTGGAGAGTGAAAGAAAGATGGAGGGAGATTAGTTGGTCCATGTTGACCGGAGAATGAATAGGGGTTGAACTTATCACCAGCATTTTGACTTCGATTGTGGTGCAGTCGGATTTCCACAACCAGAGGGGTCGACAAGTGCCTCGATGTTGTGTTAAGACACGCGGTGCATGTTTCCTAGGCCTGGATTTTGCACAGTTTCAAAATCGAGTGAATCTGGTCCTTACTCGGAGGGTTGGTTTGCACTCATTGTGCTTGCGCTGTTCAGTCGTCCTGACCAAGCTTAAAGATCACTCTTGGTCGATTGTTATTGGTCGGCCTCAACGGCGGCGCGACAGTGTACAGGGATGTACAGCCCGCATTCAGAAATGCCAGTCCAGCCCTTGGCCGGCCGAGTTTGGAGCTTCTTGACCAGTTGTACAAGGTCGGATTCTCGACCCGAGCCGAGAAGCCCCATGCCAAACCGCAGAACTTGGTAGATCTCATCTTCGATGCTCGTTGTGTAGCATTGTAACTTCGCTTCGCCCCTGGTGGTTGCCTGGAGTTTGGCCGGCCAGCTGGACGCTTTCGTACAGGCTTTTAGTTAGACATGTGTTTCAAGTCATAATTAGACCTCAAGACTTGGCGTCTCGATGTCTGTTGCACCTATGCCGGTCACCGCTTCTCTCGTACTGATGGATCGGTCTCGCTCTTCCGCACTTGCTGGGTCATGCCCTTCGGAGGCTGCTTCCATGTCCCGTCCGAGCAATTCCCAGGTTGAACTTGTGTGCTTCCTTCCCTGATCGCAAAGTCGCAACCTCCACGTGCACGATTTCAGTAGATTGCATGATCTTTCTCGAGTTTGAAATGTTTCCGGGCAAGGTGTCGACCGAGTGAGCACGCCCGTTTGAATTCAGCATAGAAAATGAAATCCTGCGTGCACGGCCGCTTGGAGCCTCTTGGAGCCGCGTGGTGCCTTGAAGGACCTCCTGGGCATCGTGAGGGCCTTGCACTCCATCGACCTCCTCCCAGAGCGCCTGCACCGACTCACCAAGGCCGGGCTCAGGGCAAAACCCCCCACTTTCCCACTTTAAGGGCTCTTTTTGGCGCCCAGAGCCTTGACGGCTGGAGATGGCTGGAGGCATGCTTCTGCGCAGAGACAGTGGACGCAGCATCCTTTTCGCAAGGGCAGCTTCAACTGCAGTTTTGAAGTTTTGAATTCTGGGTTTCGGCTTTCTGAGCTGTGCCGGTAGCCAAGGCCGGACCCTGTCGTGCTGGAGAAACCGGCTGGATGGGAGGCCGATGTCGTACAGAAACCCCGATAAGATGGCCTGGGTACTATAGCAAGTCAGTGGCCGGTGTCCTCTCTTCGAACTTTGTGTGGATTGTAGAGGTTTATGGTGGGCATGGACAGCTTCAGCTGCGAGACAAGCTCATCAGAAGCGCCCCGTGCCTAGAGGATCTTGCGGAACATGCAGTGGTGCAGCACACAGTTCTCCGTGCAACGACCCTCGTCGCATGCACTTGATGACGCCGCATCATGTGAACGCTTGCAAGACAAAACTGCTCTGATGAAGCTTTGAGGCTGGCAACTACCCCATCTTCCACGATGCCGCTCGCGACTTTGGTTTCATCCACCGCCTGGACGTGCCAAGTTCCGGCTTGATTCTGGCAGAAGCTCGGCAGCATCTGGAACTGACGGAGGCTAGTTCCCATCATTCGGTTTTGCAAGTATGCTCCATCCAGTTTTGCGGCCTGCAGCCGCAAGCGATGTTGAGTGCTGTCTTCCCACAGCTCAGGCAAAGACCTATCGCACACATAGCTATCTCCAGCTGCAGCTGCACACAGGACATCGTGCAAGCGCGAACTGCTGCGTGAGTGATCTGTCGGTCATGGGCCAACAACAGCCCGGCCGAGACGGCAGACTTGGCGCCGTGTACGCATATATCATATATCAGAACAGGAGTGCTGCTGCGTGAGTACTTCGTCGTGAGCCACGGATGGCTAACACCAGCACGGCGAACCTTGGCAATTAAGACGGACCAGGGCCTGTGACTGTCGCTGTCTCCAAGATGACGCAATCCGGTCTGAGGCGCGATCTCTGCTGCACTGGACGATGATGCCGAAACGACCCGTGCAGGTATCGGCAAAGCCGCGCTAACGAAGTTAAAGGCCGGGCTCGCGGTCCAAGATCGAGGGATCTGTTTCTACATCTAGGCGCGCCACGTGCAGCCTCTTACTCTGCAACGGTGTAGAGGTTCCATGCATCTCCACCCCATCCCCAAGAATCGCTCGTGCTAAATGGTAGTGACAGGCAGCCGGTGGGCAGTCGCATAAAAGTAAGGATGAAGTTTGCAGCAAGAGGTTTGCATCTCCTGGCAGACAGGTTCAGGTGCAATGCCACCTTGAAGGTGAAGCTTTCACTGAATCTTCACTGCGATTGGACAGGCGCTGTTCAGGTCAGGTTGTGGGCTTTTGCCCTTGGCTTGTTAGTGGAGCTGGACTGTATCCGTGTCCACTGCCCGGCTCCTGCAGAATGCGCAGCAGTGTTCGATCCTCAGGCTGTAGCTGTGCAGCTTGGTACTGGTCGAAAACACCAAATCAGGAGAGCAGGTTGTCTCATGAATTCATGCTGAGCTGCGTTGCGGCCCATCATCCGAAGCCTAGCACAAAGCTCTTCAGCAAGTGACATCCGATCAGCCGACTTGATGGAGCCGTCAGACGTTGCAGGAGCCATCTGGCCCATGTCGGCCACCCAGTGGCGCGTGATGGCCGCTACAGCAGATCCTGGGACTGCAGCTCAGGTTTCTCAAGTTTTGTTTCAAGAAGCGAAGTTGTCACACGAGGCTCTGCAAGCTTCCGCGGAGATGGAAGCCTTTGCAACAGCAGCGTGGCTTAATTACCTGGCATGCGTCGCCGATGCGCTGGACCCTGTTCGATGTGCGAGTGGTTCAAAACACTAGCCTGCGGTGCAAAGGGGTGGCTCATGAGCATGTTGCCGTACTAAGGCAACTTCTTGTGGCTCAGCAGCAGGGAAATCTTGGCCTGAACCCATGCTTTACCTTGCAATCGGCTGAGCTTCAGTGTAGACTTGCCCCACTGTTTTTATCGGGAGTATGTTCGGTTCTTGTCGTTGAGGGAGTGCCAGTTTGCCTGTATTCTGGCTTGTCTGGGGAATCATATGAGCACAACGTGCGAAATCTGGAAGCTGTCTGTGGCTTGGCGTGTGCCCCAGCAATACCGTGTAGGCGCCAACACGTAGCTACGAGCAGGCATCGGCAGCGGCTGGCCTTCTTCGATTCGAGTGGTAAGTGGCATGACGCCAAGGCGGCTGCCAGGGCAAAGCGATGTCACGTGTTAGTTTTCATCATGGATGAACAGTTGCCTGCCATAGCGGCAAACTGCCCTGATGGACACTGCCGGAAGAAGGGCAAAGCCGACCATATGATGCGGTCCCTGGGCAGGCACCATTGCCATCCCTGCTAGCCACAGCCCTGGAATCGCTACACGAGCGGCGGGCAACTTCAACTGGCGGGCCCAGGGCGTCTTTGCAACTTGTGACTGCGCCGGCATGTACGCGTGTGGCATATTCATGTGGTGCACTGAACTTCAGGGAAGATCCTAGACAGCATGTCCGCTCGATACATCCAGTCCTTGTCACACCGACGACGAGAGACATGCTCTGTGACCAAATTGCAGTTTTCTGCGGCCTGGTTCTTTTCGCAGGTCTCCTGCAGCAATGCACCGGCGATGTGCAAAGTTGGGATGTGCTGCAGACTGAAGCTCAATTGGAGAAAGGTCGTTTGTTTCCTGATCGGCCCGGTGACTGTTCCTGCACGGGCAGTCTCGACCAGATTAACTTCAAGCGCAGGTGGCTACCAAAGGGGACCGCCGTGTTGTGGGCAGCCCAGACAAATGCTGTTGCACTACGGAACAAGAGAAGGCAAGCAGCCAGGATGCTCTGGGGGCAGGGTTAGGGATGGCAGGGTTGCCGCGCCGGTCCGAGGTCTACGCTCGACTGATGGCTATCCGAGCTCTTGCACCGCTGGCAGCAAGGCCTTGTACTTGGAGAAAACATGTATGACCCTTCGAGTGTTTGGCACTCCTGCGCGTGCCAGTGGCAACAAGCGAGCCATCGACTCGGTAGTTGCTGGCCTCAAGGACACCCTGTCGGTGGACCTGTCATAATGCAATCGTGTGCCTAGTGTTACCCTGTCTGTACTTGTACAAGCACTGCAAGTCATGTTCAGGTTCAAGAGTTGATCCGATCGCTGAAGCTGTGCTCACCAGGACCAGCATACCTCAGTGCGAGAAGGGGCTTTGGAGGCAACAAGCGGCAGCATGTCATAGCGGGCGAAGCGTTGCATTGCAACAATGCCAGAGCCTGCCGAGCAACCATGATAGCAGTAAATGTGATGTGGCAGTGATACAGTGATGATACCTGTGTTGCGAAGGAGCTTGCAAAGATCGCCAGCAACGGAGACAGCCGCTCGTTGGCATGTTACAAGTGTTTCCCAAGTAATGCCGCTTTGGCGTGGAATCGGAACCTGTCAGGTGTTAATGGCGGGGAGCTTTCCGCACGCCTCAGTGCAGTGAAGGCGGGCCCATGAAGTGCCATCCAAGACAGCTGCAACGAGATCGCAGGCTCTGGCTGCCGAGACTTCAGATTCTGCTGTCGCGGCCGTCCTAGGCAATTGCCTTGAGGACAGCAATGGAAGGGGGGCGGTCGCATGCTGTGGCGGCTATGGTTTGTAATCTCATGGGCTCCAAGCAGCTGCGGCGAGGCTTCGCCGCAAAGGAATTAGTGACAGCCGTGTCTTGCCATGCATGGGAGGATTGGCATGCCGCCGTTCAGAAAGCCGCAGCATGTGGCCTTGAAAAGTTTGTGGGCAAGGCTGGGGGGCTGCGAAGCCACCGGTAATCCCACGTGAGTGTGACACAGGCAGGCTCCGATCCGGCAGCCTCCAAGGCAATCGAGGCTGGGGCTTGCCCCTTTAGGGCTTGCATCTCCATCCATCATGCCCTGCATTTCTCCGTCTTGCCATCCGTTCCAGCACGTTCGGACAACTAATGCTGAGCTCCAGCGTCATGTCGTCGAGAGTCGTACCCTCGTCATGAATCCTAATCTCGCCTAAGTGTTTTTTTTTGCTTTTCTGCAAACCTAATCTCCGTGCGTTCAGTGTGCAGAGAGGCATTCAGCGTCCGTGCTCTGCGGGGCGACAGATCTGGGCTGACGGCCCTGATGACCGCGCTTGAGTGGGGGCCATGTAAGCCATACCTGCGGGTAGTGCAGGCTGCACGATGGCAGTGGCAGTAGAATGTTGGTCAGGTTGGGGACGATCCTAGTATAACTGGTTCATTTCACAGGCTTGCGAAGGCATGAGGCAGAAGATCCGGGCCACGTCGAGAGTGCTTAGCCTTGCGGCTTCAGGCGGGATGATGCTTCGCCCACGTGGCGCCAAGCGCTTGGCGCCCTGGCGGGGGCTCTCAACCGACGGACGGACAGACAGACAGACAAACAGACAGACGTAGAGGTAGATGCAAGTGAATGCATTAGTGCCTGACTTTAGACAGATTGGAGGATGCCAGTATGAAGCTCCAACAGCGGTGTGTCGTTGTGCAGCTGCTGATGCAATCGTAGGCGCCTTTGTGTAGGTACGCGGCGGAGTTTTGGCTAGCTACCGATCCTAGTTGCCCTAGCTTGTCCAGGATGTCCATGTCGCGATCCGGCATTTTGTGCCACGTGAATGATCGAAGCACATGAGTTCACCGCGTGAGTCTGCCGTTCAAATTGACTTAAGGTCCGGGTTGTCCTCCAAACGGATTCTGCTCAACCTGCCGAATTTGCAGTGAAGGCCTTTCCGAATAAAGTGTCTGGCGGGTCGGTCTATGCGCTTCCCGCGGGCCTGTAAGGCGGCCGCAGCCAAAGCCATCGGCCTGGGCCCCAGCTGAGATCAACGGATTATGCGACCGGGGACCTGGTCGAGGCACGGTCTCGATTCGGCTACATGCAATCGGGATTTGCCTGGACTTGCCTGCATTTCAATTCGCACTCAAGTGGCACACAGGCTTACACCACGCTAGCACGAAGACCGGTGAATCGGGGCTGCTAATTAAACTCGGAACCTCCCTGGCCTGGAGTGATGTTTGGGGGTGCGTCACCTCTCCTTGCAGCCATTATGATGAAAGCTTGCCATGATCATGATATGATCTGCGCAAGCCACCGGAACTATGTTGAGTCTGAGTGTGAGTCAATTTCCATGAATATCCAGCAAGTTTGCCAACTGCAGCTTTTGCAAGACACAGTCTATGCGCAAGAAGCAGCATATGAACACAGATTGAGGGAACACAGCGGGCTTGTGACAGCAGTCACAGCGTTGGGCCTCGCGATGCTCTGCCACTGAAGCTCCGGAGCCGAACCGATGAGGCCGGAGACGCGGCATCCTTTTCTTGCCTTTCTGGCGCCAAGCTGGCGCTGCTCGCTTGAGGGCACAGGCTGCCGCGACTTGCCTTAGCACTCCTGGAACTTTCGTTCTGTTTAGTACGAAAAGGGGTTCTGATGTGCTACTCCTTGCAGCCTCAGGAATGGCATGTGCAGCGGTAGCAGTGTTTCAGACGCGAAAACATATACCAGGTCCATCCAGCAGCTCGGGAAGCAACTCGAATGGCAGAAAAGTTTGAAACTGCTCAGAGAGTTCCGGCAGAGCCGATGTGACGGTGCAGTACATGCATACAGCGCAGGGATCACTGCAACTGGAGACTGGCTTCGGGCCGTGGAGCTCCTAAACGATCTGCAAAACATCTCGCAGGCAAATGTTGTTACATTCAGTTCCGCCATCAGCGCCTGTGAAAGGATCTCGGCATGGCAACCCGTATTGCTTTTACTGGGACAGGCTGAAGATGCATTTGTGGAAGCAGATGTCATCGTTTTCAACGCGGTCGCGAGCGCGTGTCAAAAAGGAAGCGATTGGAAACGAGCTGCTCAGCTCATGGATGTGTTGTTCAGACAGGCTCTGGAGCCAACGATTGTTTCACACAGTACCGTCATAAGCGCGTGGGGACGTGCAAGCCGGTGGCAAGTGGCTTTGCGGTTGTTGCGGGCACTGCCTCTGTTTGATCTGCAGGTGAACAGAGTGGCATATGGTGCAACGCTGAGTGCGTGTGAAGCGAGTTCAAACTGGCAACTGGCACTTGAGCTGTTTGCAGAGGTGCGCTCAAAGAGTCTCAGGGTAAACCTGATTATTGCGAACACAGTTATAAGTAGCTGCGAGAAGGCTGCAGAGTGGGAAGCGGCCCTGCTCCTTCTGTCCACTCTGACTTTGACGCAGCCGCAGCCTGACGAGATCAGCTTCAATTCTGCCATCAGTGCTTGCGAGAAAGCAGGCCAGTGGCACTGGGCTCTCGAGCTCCTGAACCAGCTCGAGCCTTGAGCCGTCTCGCAAAGCCATTCCTTAGGTCCTAGGTGATTTTGGATCAACTTATGGTAAGGGTGAAATTTGCGACAATCCTCTGGCCAAGGACAGGAACCGACTACAAGCATCTGTCGTCTCGTGCAGTGCGGCGGCCAGTGCGTGCGCGAAGGGCATCCTGGATGCCTTTCTGTTTGTGTTTCCCTATCGAGTAGAGGATAGCAAGAGAAAGCCTCAGGCTTGGTTTCCCTTGTGTCCATGTGTCTCTCAGTCTCTTGCAGTATCTCTTAACGACCCTGTCTGAATGTAGATTGTGCGATCTTTTGTGTCTATGTACGTCTTTTCGGCTATCTGTCTTCTGGCTGTGTCTGTCTGACTGTCTCTCTCTCACCCTCCCTTCTGTCTATTTTCCGCATGCCTGCCGGCCTGCCTGCCTCTCTGTCTGTTCTGTCCGTCCTTCGGTCTGTCTGTCTGTCAATCTGTCTGCGTGTCGCGCTTGTAGCCGGAGATGCCCGTCGGTGAGAGAGCATCCGTTGGTTGGATTGGATTCGATTACGTCTACGCACCCTTCCCCAAGATCCTGCCAAAGGCTTCTCACCCTAACGAATCTAGACAAGCTCCTTCAAAGTTGCCACCGCCCAGACTGCATCTCCCCCGATTGTCAATGTAGAATCGCACAGCGTGAGAATGCCAGTGTCTAGCCGGGCACGACTCACCGAGGAACTGCATGGTTGCAGGCCATGTTCCTGATCAGCAGCAGCCAGAAAAGTAAGATCCAGCTGCCTGTCCAGTTTAATTAATCTTGCGCAGCCGAATTTTGTCAGCAGCATTTCCCTACATCTTACTCGCCGACTGCTTCCTATGGTCACAGATTGTGCACACTCTCTGGCTAAGCTGTGTCTGTCTCGAGGCTCGATATGATTGCCTACACCGCGCTAGCAAGTGCCTGCGCGCAGGGCTACAGTTGGCAGACGGCCGTTTGCCTAGTAGCCGACCTTCGCCAGAGCCATGCGCACGCGGACCCTTGCTGGTGTTGTGTGGGCGCATGTGTTGATGGGAATTTTAGCTAGTCTGTCCAACATAAATCGTCTCTTCCTCTCCATTGCGCTAGTGGTTCGCAGTCCACAGGAAATCAAACCTCGGACCTCTGCGCTTCTTCATCCCTGTCGCAGACTGTAGGACTTGGTCACCTGCAACGCCGTGATCACTGCTTGTGCAGAGGGCCGCCGCTGGCTGACAGCTACGACAATGCTGCGAAACTGCCAGACAGAGCTTCTTGACTGAGATGCTTGCGAAGAGAGTTCAGTCCCGTATGTTGCACTGCTGCAGGCAGCTCCGCAGCGATGAGGTCTCCATTTGTGCTGCCATCACAGCTTGCCAGCAGGAAGTCCCACGCCACATTTCAAAGTTCAAGCCAGTTCAATCTGCCAGCAGCCGGAAAATGAAAAGCAGGAGTGGCCAGCAGCGGTGCATTTGCTGTCTTTGTTTCGAAGCAGCTTACCGGGCAGCAGAGTCGCCTTCAATGCAGCATCTCGGCTTAGATGGGCTGGTGTGTGCGCTTGCGCTTGTGCCGTTTGCCTCCTTAGTTCATGGTGCAAGGCATCACCCATCTCTACCTGTTGGATTTAAGAATCGGTTTAGGGGGTTAGGGATCGCTTGTGAGAGCCAGCCATTTAACTTTTGAAGCTTTGTCTCACATTTGTGTGTGTGTGTGTGCGGATTTTCTCGAGTTTTGCAGTGTCCGACTGCCACCCATCACCCCGATTCTGGAAGCTTGTACCTGCGAGCCCTGCAGGCAGGCGCCGCATGTGAGAAGGGCAGCAGCTGGCAGCTGGCCCTCCTCTTCGCAGAAGGGAGTCGCTGCCTCGCCTCGCCATGTTGTCTGCGCTTCTTGCCACCGGTCATGCGCAGGACTGCAGAGGCTGACGCCTGATGCTGTCTCCTACAACGTGGCCATCAGCGCCTGCCAGAAGGAGGAGTTGTGGCAATGGGCCATGCTTTTGCTGCACGAGCTTTGGGACAGCCGGCTTCGGGCCAGCGTTATTACATACAGAGCCTCGCCTGTGCTGGAGCCGGAGCCACGCCCCATCAGAAGCGAGGACCGCTCTCAGACTCTGACTGAGGCGTTGCTATTGGGGCAGCCCACACTGCCGGACGCTGGGCTTGGGCGCTTCACTTTCTGCAGAGGCTCGGCCGGGATGGAGAGGCGCCCCGGCCCTGGCTTTGGCGGATGCATCAGAAGCCGTCAGACGTCTACGCTTAGAATCGGTTTAGAGGGCGTGAACTGAGGCGCCCAACGTCATTACTTTCAATGCGGTGCCTCAAGCTGCCATGTCTTGTCTTATGCCATTTAAGATGTGGCCGAACTGCGGAGAGGGACACGACTGAGCCGAGGTATTGAGCACGTGTGCTGGGCAGCATCGCTGGCAGCGGACCTTGTCTCTCCTCTCCTGCTGCGGACCGTGCGAAGATGTGGTTACCCACGCCACTGCCGTTGCTGCTTGTGAGGTCGGCTTGAGGCAGGCAGTCCACCTAAGCGTGAGCTTTGCCACTGACGTGCTTGCTGTGTGTCCGCAGAGAGTGTTATCGTGGCATTCAGGTACTCTGATGCCGCTTCGGTGCTTTCTCGCTTGGAGAGTGCAGGTGTGGCTGCCAACCACCGTGCAGTTGGCCAAAGAGTATCCTCCATGATGTTTCGAAAAAGTGTTGCTCGCATAAGTGAGACGAAATGAATTACAAAGACGTGCAAGGCTCAGCATCTTGCAGGCGTTTCAGCCTCAAGCAAGCTAGAAGCTCTCAGCACAGCCCGCCTGGTAGGCGGGCTGTTGTCTGCGAGCAACGGCAGCTCATGTCGCGCGGCGATGGGCGCGTCCACGACCACGACCTCATTTTCTGCGGGGCGTCTGCGACGGAGTTCCGCGAGGTCGCCAGCAAGTGGCAACCTTGCTGTGGCAGAGGCCCTTGTCCCAGGGTTCATGCCTTTCTGCCGTCCTTATTGCTCTAAGTTTTGCGATCTCGACCAGTATCAAGCCCGAGGCAGCCCTGAAGTCTCGTTTTGTGAACAAGCATACAAACTTCCTGTTTCCATGTCGGTCAGCGCAGCAAGGAACAGCATCTATTATGTAGATCTTGCAGCTACAGTGGAAAACCTATTGGTGCATGCATCCGCCTTGCCCAACACAGTCCGGTGCAGGGCAGAGACGACACGTGGGCGCTGGCAAAGCGACAACTCTGGGCCGGCGTCCGGAACCGCGTCCGAGCCGATGCCCGCACCTCAGAGAAAAACGAACTTCTCAGCCAGCCCGATGGCCGTGCAGTGCAGGTTCTTTGCAGTGCCTCATGTGGGCCTTCTGCGCCGTGCAAGGTGGTCTCACTCACGGCCGCTGGCAGTGCCGGCCTGCGCAACAGACAGTGGCAGTCATCCCTGCAGCTTCTTGGAGAGTGCCTTGAACTTGTCAAGTGCAAGTCTCCCAAGACTGCGTGCTTTGTGATACAGCCTGCGGGATGTTGAATTGAAATCAAAGGCTTCGCTCTTCGTCACTTCGCGCAGATTCCCATTCCAAGAATGTCGCGCTGAGCAGCATGCTGTATCGGAGGTGCCACGTTGGAATTTCATGTCTTGTCGTATCAATCAAGCTTTCGATTTTGCATTGTCTTTCCGCTTCTGTTCTTCTGCTTGTGTTTGTGGCTTCCGTTGCGATTGTGGAGATTTCTTGCTGCTCGGTTTCCAGCTTCTGGTGTGCATGTCATGTGGTCTTGGTTTCCTTTCAAGTCTGCAAGCTGATCCTCTTTGTCAGTAGTGGCGCTTTCGGGCTGGTTGCGTCTGTGTGGTTCAGGAGTGTACGTCGTTGGTGTGATGCCAGCTAAATTGTACTGTACTGCTTGGAGCTGGGACTTCCCGGTAGCGTGGAAGTGTTCTTATGCTGGCAGGAGAGGCTGGATATACTCTGTGCAGCTGCTGGAAGATGGCATGGCAGCTTGAGGTCATTTAAGCCATGAAGTGCGAATTCTTTTTTTGCAGCCGCAGCACCTGCATCCTGTTTCAAATCAGCCGGGAAAACAAACAGGACAAGGCCCTCAGGCAGACAAGAAATAGCTGATACTGCGCCATGATGTGCCGTGTGTGTGGGAACGCTCAGGTTGCAGATGTGGTCGCTTACACCACAGAGCTTTGACTGCAGATGCGGCCACCGTCGCGCTTGATTTGCTTTGCATGTCTTCGGACTGTATCCTAGGTAATGCGTGCTCGAGCTTCGGCAAGCCTGTGGTATCAAGCCGTGGGCACACTCACCCAGATGGGGGAACGTAAGCTCAACATCAACAACATGGCGCAACTTGGACTGGCTTCGTAGAGCTTTGTTTCATCTGATTTTGGCTATTGCGGGGCTTGCCCTGCTAGGCTTAGTTGCCAGGTTGTCCACCCGAACACGAATAAGCCTCCCTTCAGTTTTGCCATGCAGCCACCTCTAGACTCTGTTGGACAGATCGCCGCTTCCCCCGACTAAAGACAGGGCTCCAAATTTCGAAGCTTCATGCGGTTAATTTTGGATTGCATAACAGGCTAAACCAGCATTTGCTAAGTCAGGTTGAAAGAGGGCAGCTTTCCTTGCTGCCGGTGGGGTGCGGTAGTTCATTACGCCGTAGGCTTGTGCAGAAACCCCTTCAAACACAGAAGGCGATGGTACGGCATGTGCCCCCAGAAGACCTTGAAACTAACGGAGCAAGATGCTGCACGGGTGAATCAAACTCCAAAAGGTTATGTGAACTATAACTAAGTAACCGCACAACACTACGATGGCGTGCGATTAAAGCTCGGGTAGAATGCATGAGAACGACTGAAGAAGGGATGAGCACATTCCCGCCTGTTGCAACTTGAAAATGCTTTAGCTGCAAAGTTGCAAGACATGCATTCGGACCGATGCCGCTGCATGCGAAGCGTGCCGGGAACAGCGCGGGAACTGTTCCGTTATATCCAATGTGCCCCTGAACCGAGCCTAAGGTTCACGATCGGCCTCTCCGCCTGCGAGGTGGTCGCAGAAGTGGAATATAGTGGAATACTGTGAGTACGGTTTCAAGATTTTAGCTCTCGTCGCTGCCGGCTTTGGTCCTGTGGATTTTCAACCGCAGCTTGATGTTTCTGGCTATGGGTCGCCAGCAATCGTACGTCATGAGCAGGAGGGCCGACATTGGGAGGTCGCAATGAACCTATTGGAGCGCGCGGTCTCCGCAAAGGTGGAGGCCACAGTCTTCAACCGGCATGGAAGGAGAGACTCTGCGGAGTGTGGAGTTCATGCAGCTGTGGTTGGTGCACTTTTCACTGCAGAGGCTGATGTTCGCACCCTCACGGCCGCGCTGAGCAATTTCAACTGGGAGGATCGGAGAGTCGGGGTGTCATGATACGAAAACAGAGATGAGCAAAGATGTCGGGTGTCAGGTGACTTCCTGGATACGTGCCTTATCCCTTTACCATCAGAGTATTTCCACTGCTCTCGAAGCCGATGTGGCTTCCTGGCTGAAATTAGGCGCATGAGCTTTGCCCAAAGACGCGCTCTCCGTTTTGCTGCTTTTGCCATACATCGCCTAGGTGTTGTGCTGTGCGGCTATGAGTACATGTCGGGACCGACGCGCTGGGAACAAGTTGGTGAGAAGCGACTACTGCATGAGATGTCGTGGCACCACAGCCCTCAGCTCAAGCCTGCAGAGGATCCTTGGCACTGGAGCTTGCAGTGCTTCGGGCTGCTGCGGCAGCAGCGCCTGCAGACTAATGCCGTCGCATCCGCCACAGCTACGAAGGAGCAAAGACACAGTGATTTGCAAGTTTGCTTCCCCTTTTGTCAGCGAGCCTTGTTGGAAGGCATTCGAACTCAGTACTCACTGGGCTCCCGCTTTAGCGCTGCTTGCATCGCTCGCAAGAGACGGCTGTCAGCCCTGTGCCTTGGAGAATCCAATCTGCTCGAGCGCCCGCAGAGCCACTGCCACGGCCGGGTGTGAAGGTGCTGCAACAGGCCTTGCCGCCTGCAGTGCTTGTGGCCAAGCATCTCGTCTTGAAGCGAAGAGCGAAATTGAGTTCACGATGTGGCCAAGAAAGTGTGATGTTCGGCACACAGACTGAGGGTTCGAGCCTTAGACTGTCCAGCTGCAGAGGTCTCCTCTTGGGAACACAGCCTTCGGATTGCTCTCTCTGGAGCTCCGGCGCGGGTGGCTTCCTGTGCCCGAGGCAGGGTGTTGCGCCAAGCGCGTCCGAGTTTTGGAGAGGCTGTTGGCTTGATTTGGGGGATCTGGCCAACGTCGGATCAAAGCTAGGCAGCTAGGCAATCCCTGCATAGAGAGGAACTGCCTGGTGCTTGGCTTTGTTCGTGGCGGCAGTCCCGGAACGTCGGCGCGAGGTGCCGGCTAGGGCAGGGTTGCGGTGCCGACAAGGGCCAGGTCAGGTGCTTCGAGGTGTGCTTTGAGGTTGCTTCCTTGTGCAAGCTGCAAGCATGAGTGCACGCACCCTCATGCACCCTCCATGTTGCGATTCGGGCTGCAAGTGTGCTGTCAAGCTGAGCTGGGAAGCCCAGGTGGCACGAGTCAGCCTCAATACTGCGACCCTCGGACAGCTCTACTGTTTTACATTTCAATAAGTTGCGACATGTTGCGATGACAAGCTTGATCTTTTCAGGCTCCTGCAAAGTGAAAGCCTGTTTTGGCCCAAGAACTCGACCTAAGTTTCAGGTGAACGTGAAGCGAAATGCGTTGCATGCAAGGCATCATCTCCTGTTTCACAAGAAACGGGTTCCAACACCAGCCATGCAATGGCTCAACTGGCCTCTGACATGTGACAGGGGACAGACATGCAGAACAGTCGACTTGGCCGGATGTTTGCCTGGATGCACTGCATGCTCCTGGTAGGCGAAAGATGGCGAAAGTAGGCCGCATGTCCAAGTGTTCTTTCTCCCTCACTCTCTATCACTCGCTCCGTTTGCCACTCCCTCTCTCTGCGTCTCCGTCTGCCCCTGCTCTTCCCGTTGTAGACTTGTGCTGGTGCATCGGTGTTGAATGCATGAGTTCAACCTTGGGTGCCAAGGATGAGCGCTTTGGGAAGGATTGAGCTCTGGCAGACCGTCGCGGGGATGCTGTCCCAGATGTCGCGCAGGCAGATCGTCCCCGACATCATCTCGCACAACTCCGCCACCTGTCATCAACAGCACAGAAGCCATATCAGACAACTCGCAAAATCTCAGCATGTCCAGCACCTCAGGTCATCTCCGCCATGCTGCATGCTTGGGAAGACGCTTTGGTGATCCTTCGGCTTCTAGGTGGCTGTGAAGGCAGAGCTTGCACGTCCGTCAGTCTCAAGCGACGGGCTTTTAGCGTTTAGCGCCAGGCTTGGTGAGCTTCAATGCAACCTTGCGAAGCATGGCAACTGCAGCCCAGTGGCCGCTTGCTTTGCAGCTGGTGCTAACGATGAGGCCAGAGAGACTCCAAAGCGATCTTTCCCTCTGTGGTTGATTTGACTCTCTGTGCTCGGTGAAACCCATGGTCGCTGGAAGGCGGCGAGCAAGGGCAATCGCAGGCATCACCTGGAACTCGGTCTTGTCAGCTTGCGAGAACGGCGTCTTGGCACTGTGGATGCCTGCTGCCCTCGTGTGGATCTGTGTGTTGCGCTCCGATGCTCCGCCGTGCAGTATGGCATGCACACTCTAACTCTAACTTTGACGTGCCAGGCAAGTCTGAGATAGGTTTATGGCCCAGTAGGAGCTGGAGTGCGAGGACCTCGGGCGCAACGGAGTGTTGACAGGCTGTCAAATGCTAGTCTTCTGTATGGACAGAGATGAAAGAGGAAAACAGCCAAGACTGCCTTCCTATTGTGGAGCATGCGAACGGGCATGTTCATTTCGCGGTTTCGCTTGGTACACTTGTACAGTTCGAATCCTTCCCGGGCATTTGGCTGTGATTTGTGCTTACATAACATGTGACTGGTTTTGCGTCTTGTCCATGCTTAGATGTTTTGTTCTCCCCAGCCCCGATGACAGCTGAGATGGACAATGGCCCGTTGCACTACTGCTTCTGCACGAGATGCCCGAGCTCAGAGTGTTTTCTGGACGCAGTCTATCATGCCTGTCGAAGCGAGACAGCTGGTAGGAGCTCTTCAGCTAACGCCTTGGAAGGCTGCTTGATCTCTTTGGCCGCAACAGTGCGATCAGTGCTTCTGAGAAAGGTGGGGCAGCACTTCTTCTGGTTTTGACGCAAGATGTATAGATTGTTGCCATCCTTGCCGGCTCTTGCGGCTGCAGGCTCACAATGGGCAGTCGCTTTGCATCTTTTGCAAGCTTCTGACCACGGGGTTGAGGCGACTCCGTTGAGCACGTAGGCATAAAGTTGCCGAGGCCTTTGCGAGATACTTCAGTTGGTATCGATGCATAGCCGTTCCGGGACGAGATCAGGTTTGTTCAAGAGTGCCGACCTGCTGATGCGTCCTACCCAAAAAAAAACCAGACTCTGTCGCAGTTCCTGCACCTGCCGCCATCCCCTCGTTACAAGTCACCGGCTTCCTTTCTAGAACGGAAGCAGGCAAGCAAAATGATGCTGAATGCCGTAGGGCCAGCATGTCTTGTCACAGGCTGATGTCCTCAGCTTTGGTTCTGTGGTGGCGGGGTGTAGGACGACTGACAATTCTGCTGGTGAAGTGTTCCCGTCGGGAAGCTTGTTCTTGTGTCTCACGCCAGCAGGACACCCGATCTGTGGCACGTTGCCGCCACTACATGTCACCAGATGCGAGCAGTACAGGCGGGAGAATCGACGAATCTCGAAAGAGTTGTTTTCAGGGAGGCAGGTGCTTCTCATTGCATGTCAAGAGCCGTCAGAACGGATAAGAATCGCATGGTGGCGGCTGCAGACTTTGAATGCCCTGCATGCGCAGGTGCGAACTGATGTAGTGGCTTGCAGCGCCTTGTCCAAGACAGAAGATTGTGCTGTCTTGATATTCTGTGCGGTCCTTCATCGGTTCATCTTTGCATTAACGCTCGGGTTGGCCTAGACTGCGTTGGGCCAGAGAGCTAGGCAACTGTCAGGAGCCACATCGTAACGTGCGGCGCATTTCACCTCAAGCATGTTCGCATGTTCGGATCGTGATCCCGACATAACTTCGTGCCGAGCGCATGCGAGCGCGAAACGTGTTGAATCACCATCAGCTCAGCTTGTTCCGAATGTGGAGGAGAGGGAGAGGGACAGAGAGTGTCTGCTTCTTGCTGGGAGGTGCTGCTCTGAGTGCATTGGGAAATGCCGCAAAGTGGAGGCAAGCTGCGCAGGTCTGTGCAAACAGCGAAGCTATGCAAGAGCAGGAGCGACCGAGGGCCCAAGTTTGAACATGGTCCCGAGCTGTTTTGCCACCAGGACTTACCCTACAATGCAGCAGTGTGGGCCTTTGCGCAGGGCGAAAGGCGTGCACAGCAGCTTTCGCAGCTCACTCTTCATGGGCAGTGCCTCTTTTTGGTCTGTATTGCAAGAGAAAGCAGTCTGCAGCTTCCAAGGCAGCAGGAAGAACGATGACAAGTCGTACACAGCTTGCTTAGCCGATGTCGGCGACCCCACTCTGGTTCCATGCAGAGCTCGGCGCATCTGCGAGGTCTCCGTGGTGGTCTTGCAAAGTCGACGAGTCAAGTCGTCCACGCACAGGAGTTCAAGGAGCTGGCTTCAGGTGGCCGGCCACCACAGGCTCGACAGATCAGTACAATGCCATGAACCGAGCGGAGCTTTTCGAGGGCATTGCGGCGTAAATGCTGATTGGACAAACATCATGGTGAGCCACGCTGAGCAGTCATTCCTCCTTGTTTCTCGATTTCGGACAGGTTTTTTCCAAGCAGCTGAGCCTGGCAGAGTGCGTGTAGTTGCAAAATCCGCAAGTGCAGCGTTTGATAGCGGCTTTGAAGAAGGCATGAATTGCTGCCGCGAATGCGGACGCAGTGAGCACGCACGCGAGTGCACACACATATGGCAGAGAGCATTGCCAGGTCCGGCCAGAAGGCCCCGAGGTTGCACGAATCGTTGCTAAAAGGCAGCTGAACTTTGCGGGCAATGCTCTGCAGGGGAGTGCCGCTTTCAATGTTTGAAAAAAGCTTCTACCCAGCAGTCCCAGCAGACACACTGTGCTGTAAAATGGTGGTCCAGTGCAGGGTGGGGGCTGTGCAGCGCAAGTTGAATGTACTCACCTGCCTGCCACGGCCATCAGCGACTCAAAGATGCGACCTGCCCCAATTCCCAGTCAGAAACAGCTAATCCATGTAAGGCTATTGCCGTGCAATTGTTAACTAACTCAACTGGCCTTGCCAACATTGGCTAGCAGCAAGCTCGCAACGATCTGCCAAATTCACAGCACGCGGGTCTAGTCGCTCGCCCGAAAGACCGCCGGACTCATGGCCATCCCCCTCCAGTTGAAACATGTTGAGGTTCCGCTTGGTTTTAAGTTCCGTTTTTCGAAAGTTTTTGATGAGTGCTCTCGCTCTCCCTCCACCGAAGCAGTGAACCCGGGTCTGTAACCGTGGAGACGCATGCCACAGGAACCCGTGACCGTCAGGCCAAGCTCGGGAAGGCAGTGGAGACCGTGAAACAGCTGCTCCATGCGGAGAGAGTGCCACAGCTAGCAGGTGGGTCTTTGGCAAGTGGTTCCCTCGGAAGCCTCGGGCATTCGTGGGTTTCGGCAAGGAAACGTCCACCACCAGTACGAGGACAAATACATTCTCGTGGAACGCGCCACGTGCTTGGCGGCAGCATCACAGCTGTGCCTTGCCAGCCGGATTTCATGCCACACTCACGTATCCAAGTGCCTAACTGCCCGCAAAGAGATGTTCCAAGAATCCTCGCTTTGGGGGTCGGGGTGTTTTGTTGTTCTTCCATGGGGAGCTCTCCAGCGTCTCTGCATGCTATCCGAGCCATTGATGCCAATGCAGGCTTGCACCAGGTCTGTTGAAGACCCTCAGCTAATGTGTTGTTGGCATGAAGGGCAGCCAAGCCTTTGTATGTGTTGCTCGTGGGTTGGCCATCGGAACCGCAATTCCCTGTTTCGCTGCAGTCAGCAACAAGCGGACACAACGAAGTGAATAGAAACTGCCCAGGAGCTGTCTCGGCGCTCTAGGGCTCACGAATGAGCATCTTCAAACGATGCGCCGCTGGGGTGCTGCAGGTGGCCATCTCTTTGTTAAAGAAGTTGTGCTTCGCCTGCTTTGCCGCTTAGCCATGGCCAGGATCCTCCGTGTCGCTGCGCTTCAAGTCCAAGGCCCTGCGAGGGGGAGACCTTTTGGGATACCTTGTGGTGGTCCCGTGTGGTCGGTGTATACTAAGCTGTGAGGCAGCCTGGTTGCAGACTGAAGCTTTTGGTGAATTCTTTGGCCCAGTCAGGAAGCTTGCAGCTTCACCAGGGAGGAGACCCGAGAGGAAGAAGATCCGAGGCGGGTTGGGTCGGTTGCAACGCGAGTCCAAGCCAATGACATCGGGTCGAGTTCTGACGACATATCCATCACCAGGGAGTTGTGTTGGGCGCTGAAGAGGTGCCATGTGTTGGATGTGAACAAAATGCCATGTGTTGGCAGCCGATAGGAAGCACGTGGAGGAGACGAGCATTGGTGGCGTGCTACGGAGTACTGTGACCAGCAAGGCTGACAGCTTGTTGAATTTGGCACGACTCAGAAAGACCAAGTCGCAATGCGCTCTTCAGCTTCGAGTGTTCTTGAATTCATGTGGGGCCTTTGCTGCTAGCAAGTCTGTTTGCGCTCAGGACATCAGGAGCGGCAAGGGCTTTTGAGTTTTGCACAGGGATTCACACTGATTATTACCCAATCCGATTTGAGGCGCCGTTGGCAGGTACTTTACATGGGATGTCTTTCACACGTCGCAGCTAGTCAGCTACCAGAAAAGCATCTGAAACTGCTCAGCCGACGAAAGCTGATATGAAATCTTCAAATTCTGTAGGTCGTGACGACGATCACCGAGTATTTCTGGAAGTTTGAGGCCAACTATGCGCTGGAGGCTTTCTGTGGAGTTGGCTCAGACTCTGCCGATCGGCTGGTCCTTGCAAGCCACACCGGGGCCGTGGAGTTGAAGACCACAACGAAAGCTCCTGCACCATACCCCGAAGCCAGGGTTCCCGCCATCAACCAGGAGGCAGGAGCCTTCAAGAACAATCCGGTACAACATGATAGGAAACGGCGAAACGGCACAAAGCGTCAGCTGCAAGTCGGCTTTGCCTTGCAGTGATACCCACAGCCTCCGATTCGGGCATCCTGTCATGAGTCGCATGAACCCCTGGCGAGGTCAATATCACTTGGCTGATCAACACCTTGAATGAAGACCAGGTCGCCCCTCAGTTCCAAATCAATCGGACTCTCCCAGGCTGCAAAACTCCTCGTCGAAACCCGGAGACGGACAGGGCTGCTGAGCACTTCGACTCCTTTGCATGTTGGACGCAGTATGTCACCGAATACTTTCATCACCTCCGAACAGTACAGCCGCGAAAAGCTGATGAAAGCGCGTTCTCGGCCGAGTCTGTCTTTGTGCCAGTGCTTCCGCTGATGTTCGATGCTGGGCCAAGTTGGTACTTTTGACGTGCTCTGCATGTTCGATTTGCCTGCTGGGTGTGTCAATCAGGCTTTCTTCACGATCATGCCCCCAGTCCTGTCGATTGTCATTGTAGTCCTCTTGTTCCGCATCAGGACAGCACAGTCGAAAACGTAGAGCCAGAAGAACCTCCTCCAGGCCCAAAGGTCAAGATTGAAAGTGTGCAGTGACCTTGTGGAAACGACCGTGGATTGCACGGCTGCTTTGGAAGGGCTTTTCGCCGTGCTGCGGTCGAGCCTGCCAGCGCAAGGCAGCCTGGCCGGATACATGTGGCAGTTTGACGGCGGCTGCAGACACTGAGAGGTCCAGTCCTTTCCATTGGAGACGGGAACCGCTTCCTGGCTGAGGAGCTCAGATGTCTCAAGGAGCTGTCTCTCATCAGTTAAAACCAGCATCCATAGCTTAAGTTGCTTTGCAAATCTTTGCAACGCACTCAACACGGCTTCGTTGTGGAGTTCATTGCCAATCATGACCGTGAGATCCATTCACGTCGCTGTTCGAGGAGCATCGGAACAATGCCAACCTTGCTTTCCCAGGAGATGATGGAAGCTTTGGTGGCAGATGGTCGACGCTCCCGTGGTGTCAAACATTGTGGAGTCATCGCAAGGATGTGCAGTCCCAGTTCCACGACTCAAGGTTCGAAGCTGAGAAGCCTAAGGACTCATACGGGCAGTTGAAATTCACGCTGTGGTCGCCCTGCTTCACTGCCGCAATGTGTGCGATTCGTGGAAGAGATCTCTGGACTATGTGGAAGGCTTGCCACCTCTTTTGGATCACTGTGTTGCCCGCTGCGCGTCCCTAGCCAGGTATGCTCCGACACCAGCTTGTGGCAGCGATTGGTAAAGAGATTGGTGCAGCTGAGTTCGCTGCCTACATGCAGTTTCATTACCGGACGCTTGACTTGCACTGCAACCCCGGAGCAGCGTGGCATTGATCCGTTGCAAGTTGCTGCAACTTGCGGAAGGAAATTGTTCCTCGAGCAGTACCAGCCCAAGCAGCAGCTTGGAAGAATGAGTAGTGAATAGGGCCTGAATGCGGCTTGGGTTTGCCTTGAGCGACGGAAGCAGCCAGGCAGCGTGCATTGATGATGACTTGATCCCAGGTTTTGCTTCTCGGTGAGGCGCTCCGAGAAGCATTCCCCGGAAGGAACTGTCAGCATAGATGAGGAAGCCATCGGCATCGTAGATGGAGGCAGCATTCGGTCACCCATTGCCTCTGGCTTGCAGCTATGTGACCTTGTGAGATGAAGTGGGGCCTACAGGTGGGTGGGTGCTAGCTGCGCGGTTTCAGTCATGCGCATCATGCGCCCAGGTCGCGATCTCGCAGTGTAGCAGCCAGCCTGTGGCCATGTCTTTTGACTTAAGCGCCTCTACGACAGTGACTTTTTCGGGACCAGTTCACCTGCATGGATGGCTTTCCCACAGCTTTTCCGGGCAAAGTGGAAGCAACCTCTTCCTCACTTCCAGGGCAAGGCAATTCAGCTCCATGGTGGTCTTGGTTGGCAGGGTGACCTCCGCCACCACCTTCGATCCAACATATGCGGCCATTGTGCAGAACAAAGATGAACTCACCATACCACTGGAGCTCTCCGTCATTCCAACACCAAAGGAGTTCAAGGATGCGATCGCTTCCCTCTCACCATCGCAGCAGGCGTTTGCGAAAGCCTTCCGTGCAACTAGCACGGCAGGTTTATCTTGCAGGTTCATGCGTCAGCTAACGTTTGGCTGCATGCTTGGTATTTCGCGTTGGCTTGCCTCTCTGAGGCGATGCAACTTGAAAGCACCCTTTTCGGAGTTGCCGTAGTCCAGATCAAGCCGCAGCTCGAAAAGCTTCTAAATTTAGCGGAGGACAGCCTCACGAAGGCGGGTGCTCAGACGATGCAGTCTCTGATCAAAATGTGTCCTGGAGACTTAATGGTGTGCAGCAGGAGATCAAGCTGA